TCAATGAATAATGATAAATGATAGCTCAAGTATTAGATGAAAAACTTTGATAAATATGATAATCTAAAATTAGATTCAATCAATCATTGTATTTCAATTAGAAGATGAAGAAGAAATAAATACAATGTAGGTTCAAAAATCTTCTCAAACTATATCTCCTTTTTAATGAATAATCGTAATAAATTAAGTACTAAGATAGAAATGAGAAACTTTGATGAATATGATAATTTTACAAGTTTGATTAAATCAATCAAAGTTTTTAATATGAAGAAGTATAAAAGTTTATGCAATGTAAGTACAAAAATCTTCTTTAAAAATATATTTCTCTTTCAAAATTGATATAAATGAGTTAAGTACAAAGAGAAATGAAAAAATTTTATAAGAGAAATAATTCAAGAAATTTGAATCATTTGATTCCACAATGAAAAGTTTTTGTTATAAAGAAATAAATGAAACGAATGTAAAATGTAAGTTCAAGGAAAATATTTTACAAATATATTTCACAAAAAAACTCTCTACTAGTTATTTATGAATGTATAGTGAAGTGGTATTTATAGCAGTCAAAACGCCCAAAGTTTCTGTCCATCCAACGACCCAACCGAACGTCCGTCACTGAATCGGACGACTAAACTAGTCATTGTGCGTCAGAAACCAAAAAGGTTAAAAAAATTATCATTGGCGAACCAGACATCCGATTGACTTTGACTTTTTTTTAAATGTGGACTTTTGAATGAGTAAGTAATATCAAGTTGAAATCGAAAAATAAAATTTTTTTATGCAAGTATTTTTATGAAATAATTTTTTCGTGCATAAAATGATTTTTGAACTTTTATTATTCATTACCAAATATCAAAGTATTAGTACATTTATATTAAGAAGTCTAGTTTTTTTTATCTTGTTTCGAAATTTGTCTCTTACACTTCTCGTCTTGATCTTTCTTTGATATCGTCTCTCATACTCTTGATCTTGCTTTTTCTTGACGTTTGTCTTTTAAGCTCTCATCTCGAATGATTCGACTTGAATGCTTAACGTCCACTTCGATCTTCATTTCGAATCCGATTTATATATTATTTTGGCAATGCTTGATTGATTTTAATATCGAACTATCATCACTCGAAATCAATTGTTAGAAACAATATTAATCTTTTTTGTTATAATCAAAACATTAAGGATGAAATCAACTATAGGTCAACAATTTTCCCCTTTTTGATTATGATAAACAAGATTATTTGAAAGGTAAGATTGAACAATTGATATC